GCTTCAAGGAAAAGTCTCTCGTGGTAATTGGATTCAAAACCAATGACCCTGACGTTTGTAAAGTCCATGTTATGGTTGAAAAGGTGGACATGGCTTGCGACTTTGAGAGTTAAAGTCAATACCTGCAACTGCCTTTTTGTGCTCCACAATTCTGGTCTTTGATGACCTTTCTGTTTGGCCATAGTACTTAAAATTACACTGTGTGCAATTGATTTTGTACACCAAGCCTGACTTCTGGCGGTCAGGTTCGCCTCGCTCCTTGGGGCGTGGAAAAAGGCCGTTGCTTGTTTGTTGTGGTTTGTAGGCTACTTTGACCTTTTGTTCTTCGTATCAAGAAATGGTCTATTGTTCCGGCTCAACTTCACACATTAAGTAGTAAACAATAGTCCTTTTGTTCTTTGTAGCGCTGAGGGACTTTGGCCGAAGCGACGAGAAAAAGTTCGTGACTAATCGGAAAAAAATTTTTGGCATCACAATTTAGCTATTTTGGAAGAGTAGGTAGCGCATATTTGCACACGACAGATAAATTGTCACCGGAGTACCCCAAGGGAAAATTAAACGCTGATTTAGCCGCCTCGGGGAAGTGGGTAGCGTAAATTTGTCTGATACAATGTATATATGAAGTTCATATATTTTGAACTGCGGCATTAGATACGTATGATGAACGATCCTCCTGCGAGGATCGTGCAACATACGGATGTAAATTTGTCTCGTCGAGTCAACTCTCAATGGTCTACCCCAGGAAAAAATTGACCGCTAATGTGGAAATGCACACATCGAGAATTCAAAATACGTTATGTGTCTCATTCAAACTATCTCTCCCCGTCTAAATCTTTCTTCAGAAACTGTCATAGTTCTAAACTAAAGTCGTCATAGTTCTAAAGTCTAGTCTTTCCGAGCGTTTAAATTTCCCGCTCGTATGCTAATCGGAAGCTTCGACAAATCCCTCGTGTGTTCTGAAGCCGTTGCGCCATTGTTCAAAAATGGCCACATAGGGTCATTTTTCGCCTGTCTAACAAGTCCTATTGTTATCAAATTTGAGCCACTTTTCTTGGACATCCACATTGAGATTTTACAGTGACAGTTGTTGCACAAAAAAATCCTCTTACTAGTTTTCATGTCACATTGCGGGCTTGCTGATATCAGCGTTTTTTTTTTTTTTTTGCTTGACTTAAGTCGAGAAGCATTGGCTGCAAAGTGTTATATTGATGAGCAATTGGCAGCTGTTGAAAGCTATCAAAACAATGAGTACGCTGGCCAATACCTCTCCATATATTACTGGCTTAGACTCTTAAGTACAATAGATTTTAGATAACACAGCATGATCTGGCTCTGAAACGAACTTTTCCATTACTGAATCGGCTCTATGAGAATGACAAGCACGTAAAGAGCATATTTTCTCCATTGGTTCGTCATCACTAAGATTTTTTTGGAAAGAAAATTGATTTCAATTGACGATAAACTAGCATGCTACAGTTGATGTTGTTGTTGGTGTTAAAGTCGTCAGTATTGATGCACAGTTTTAGAATAATTTGAATGATTTCGCTGTGTCACTTGTTCATCCAAAGCAAAAGTATTACTATCACTAGTGCTGCCAAAATTTTGCACATCAACGTTATTCAGTATCAATTGATTTTAATGAAGCATCTGAGTTCATTTATTCTATTTTGAACTAGGGATACTGCATTTCTATCCCTAAAGCTTCACTCTACCTCGGTAATCAGTTCATGTACTATATGACCATAAGTGGAAACTGTTGAGCCTTCTTATTCCATTCATTTATTAATCTATTCGTTTTCTACCCAAACGGCGGGAGAAAAGATGAAGACAAAAATTAAATAAAAACTTCAGATCATCTGTCGAAAAAAATTAATAGTTCACAAGACCATCAAATGACGATCATGTGTTAAATGCTGAAGCTCAAAGCTTCACTTTGACTCTTTCTTGAGAAAAGGCAACATGTCGAGATCTGTGATCATGATGTGAGATAATATATATTGGTCGGTAGATATCCTGCTCTGTGAATCACTTTGATATATAGCTGACAAACTGACAGCGCGCACGGGCAAGATGAAGCGAATCCTGTTTTCTGATTGGCTACCTGCACTTGCCCGCATTGGCGTCGGCGACTTATTATTTATTTTTTATGATTTAACTCACTTTAAATCGGATATAAAGATCACTAGAGCCTCTTCGACATTAATTTATACAGAACTCTTTGACAAAGCCAATGAAAGAGCCAATGTTTCGAGTAACACGCTCTCTTATAGAAGCTCGGTATGCGGAAAATATGCCTTACCCCATTTAGCAATAACAGATATTTTACATGGCAACTGAGAACTGAATAAAACAATCTTTAAATGAGAGAGAACTCTGATTGACTCGAAGTCCCTTAATTATAAGAAAAGACAAAATGATCCAAACAAAAAAATGAAACACATTTAAAAGGGAAAGAAAAACTTGAGTCTGATGATCGCTTAGTGCGTGACTGCGTGAAATTCAACTCTCCTTCTTTAAAATGCATATTTCTCTCTGTATATCCGTGCAGACAGCACTTTAGGATAAGTGAAACAACCTGCGCACAGTATGTTCGATCACATACGTATACATAGTTATTCATTTATTCATTTATACATCATATATCTATCTATATCTAGCGCAAATCAAGAACCAACTTAGTAATTCAAGATACGTTCAAAAGGAATAACAGCCGAATTATAGTGAAGCAAATTCAAAATGTTAAGCATTTGAGAAGAGTACGATTTTTCATCTGATCTACCCACAAGATTCTTAGACTCAACATGTTAAGTATTACTTGCTTTGCTGTATACCTAACCTCCAGTGACATACTTTGAAATGTAATTCTTGTTCTTCTTTTAAAACAGCACTTTAGTAAAAGTCTTCTTTAAACTTAATGCAAGAAAGAATTTCTAGAAACATTTCAATTGACGCAAGGAGATCAGAAGGAAAGAATTATGACACCGAAGGCAACAAAGACGTTTGGTGAGTTCTTTTAATCAATGGTAAGGCGTTCCGTATTATGGGTTGTCCTCTTTTACATAGTTAGTAGAGTTACTTCTTTGAAGTTCGCCGCGCTTCCTAACCAGCTGCCTCCACTAACTGTCTTTTATTAGTATTCATAAAAAGTTTATAAGGCTTTCAAGCGTCTTGTCGGCACTCCAAGGGAAAACCGTAATTTCTTTATATAGTGACAAATACAGTGCTTTTGTCTTCACTGGCTTCTTAATTTGTTGTGATAACTGGCGCTAGCAATATCAACTCGTGTTGTGGGCGGTCTCTGTCTGAAGAGCAACTGATTATGTAGTCTGCCCACGGGCGGGCTTTGATTATTCATTTTTTTCTATTTTAACTATCGCAAAATATATTTTTGTCCCTAAATTACATGCAAATTAATCAATGAGCGAGGGACTCATCATCACTAGGGAGAGAGAGGAGGCTTCTCTCAACTCTTGATCCAAAATGACCTGGTCCTTGGCAACCGGTTACCCAGACTTCCTTATCATCCACCAGCTATCAATATTTTAGGAGCTTGGCGACATGTTGCGGTTAGATTGATCTCAGTCCCGCCTCCCGTACCTCGATGAACTTTAGATAGAACATACGGACAGTACTGTCGGATGGGTTCGCTTTGAGACTAGAGATCTAGTTCCTGTGTGGTCATTTATCTAGCTGTTGCGATCTCTCTTGTTGATGTTTAAATTCAATCCATTGAACCGGTTTTGGAAGGCGGTGATCTTTCTTGTAGGATATACTGATTACATAAGTTTCTCTATTGGAAGGGGGACAATGAATAAATGATTAAGCGTTCTCCTGTGTCAATTGACCTCCACTGTTTCTGCCAAAACTCTCGTAAAGAAAAGTGAAAAATTGTCCCATCGCCGACGGAAACGAAGGGAAATTCTGGGAAGAGGATGAGGTCAAATACACTCATAAAGAGCCCGATGGTGATGCAGTTTTGTGACTTTCTAATGAAGCTCTTTTATTTATGACTAACCAGTTTTCCATCATTCAAGAAAATTTATACCCTTGATATTTTTAATCGTCAAGAAAAGTTGACTCCCTTACATAATAAAAAATATATAACATGGTGGCTTCTATCTATGGAATTTCTCTTCTCATGTCCAACTCGTTAACTCAGTCAATCGCAGTTCTCGCTTGTAAGAAAAAAAGGGAAGCACTCGAAGAGAAATTTAATGTCTATGTGCGCCTATGAATTATACTCTCTTTTATAGATCTGACGTTTCGTATTCTTCGACACGCAACGAGAAAGCCCCAACAATAGACGAGTTATTTTTTAGAGTTGAAAATTGTCAGAGGGTCCAAAGTCTCTTGTAATGTGTTTCGTGTTATCTTCCGGTTCAACCTAACTTTGAAATTTTTCTTAAGAAATGAGGAAAACATTTTAAAAGATGACATGTTGAGCGAAGAAGGTTAGCACTTTGCGATTTAGTAAATGTATCATAGCATACCCATCAGAAGTGAAGTGAAAACCTTTATTAATTTATAAGGCTCAGGGTAGCCCCTTCAGACGCAAAAAGCTGTCTGTTATCAATGGGAGCCCTGAGCAACAACATTAAAACATTACACTAAAACAGGAAATAATATAAATAGAGAACTATTTACAAGTAAAAGATTAAAAGATGTATAACACGAAATATCATTAAGATAATTCGTTAAAAAGAGTGCAACCATAATAATAGAAGGATCTTATATAATAGAAAATATAACAGAATAAATATAACAGAAAACGGAAGAAGACCAAGAAGTTTCAACTCCTTAAAGTATTGCTTGCGTTTCTATGCGAAAGAACGACGTCTGCGAATTACCATTTTATAGCTTATGTCGCCGCGTTAGGGACTGGACGAGCAAGTATCACTGTCACTTCTAAATATAGGTGCTTACACTCATGCAATATCAAGTGCATTAATTAGGTCATAATATTCATAACATGCACATGAAGTCGAGTTGGTCTTCGCACTGCACCTGTCCCTTTAATTTTTATTCCTACCAAAACAAAGAACCCATTTAGTCTTTAAAAACAATGATCATCCATTACACTGTGTCACGGAAGCTGTAAGGAAAGCAAGCATCATGTACACATGCTTTGTGTGAGGGTGGTCTGTTGATTGTATCACGTCTTTTTAAATTACCTTGACGTTCATTGAGCTAACTACTTGTGAAGAAAAAAATGAGCGGCCCATAATCTCGGGGAATGTTGGGTACTGTGAAATACCTTTTAAAAGCATAGAATTTACTTTAGCTCATTTCGCCTGAGGAAAAATGAGCGAAAATTCATTCCAGCGTAACTGCCTTATCTCTCTGTTGTGGTTCGAACGGAAAAAATACTGATGTAAACACGCAACGTACACACCCACGCATAATTATAATCACGTCCACACGCAGAACAAAGTCAGTATTCAACACCGAGCAACAACACAGAATGCGGCCTTAGCGGCAACACAGAATGGTACCTCTAAGAAAATAATGATCTTTATGATCGTCTTCTTAGTGCATGACCAAATTATACTGGCGGATGACTGACAGAGATACTGTAATTGGCTATCACTGCATTTTCTATCTTGCAAAACAACAGGAAGTGAGTTGCGCGAAAACTAATTCAAGCCAACTTGTCAGTTTTTGTAACTAAGCGGAAATACATTCCCGCCTATATTAATTCTTCCACAGTATATATTTAGTAAAACTGAGAAAACTAAGATACCATTCATCAGGAGATCAGGCTTGGTGTCAGGTTAAACTCAGCCCAAAGTAGACAACAAGAACACCGACTCTCGCCACCTTCAAGATGTGGCATTTAAATCTAATCTTGAGCTTTGCTGTAATGAGGTTTTATTTTATTCCCTGTTTCATGTTATTCCTTTTCGTTGTTTTCTTGTAAAATGCCCAGTTTATGCGTGATTTTTATTTTCATTTAGCTAGAACCATCGCTTGTTTCACGAGAAAACGGAACGTTTTGGGTACGAATAATCTTTGTCGAACCAGGCATTACACGTTACATCAGAATGTCTCACATGTCAAAGTTTTGACAAGCAGTCGAAGACCTGTCGTTTTTCAATACTTATTAACGCCACACGGTCAGATATGTTAATTAGTTTGCCGCGAACAAAGGACCTCGTGGTTGAACCAAAGGTAAAACGTGTTCGAAGGAAAATGAAAGTCAACGCAGAATTTATGGCCGCCTTTAACCTTTCCACATTGGTAGTTGGCTTACAACATCACAAGTCGATTACCGTCAAGTTTATTAAATACCCACGAGCTTTATTACTTTGAGAAGACGATACGTGAGAAAGGACTGCGAGACGCAATCACAAATTGTGAAAGAGACCTTGCATGTGGATATCTTTCAGCATTTTCTTACTCTGGTAAGAGGTCAATCCACCTTTTTATCGGTCAAGTATGCGCATTTTCAGCACGTAACTAATACGGCAAAGAAGTCACGAAATCAGATGTAATCTCTAACTCAGGCAAGTCTTGAATTGAGCGCGACAAGTAGACATTTCAACTCGTTAAGTGGGATATAGTGAGGTTTGTCAATGTTGGTTAAGTGTGAGAATGATTTCTTCATTTCATATGTAGCAAGAAAATCAAATAGTTTTCAATTGCAGAGTTTTGCATTTATTCATTAAATTGAAACTCAGTAGTCAAATCAGTAAAAACTGAAAGGAAGCCGCATGAGATACTTTTCAGTCAGGCGTGTGATCAGTTTTCGGTTTTCTAGAAACGGATATTATCTGTAGTATCGAACTACTAGAGTATAAATACTATTACGTAGAATTTTTTTCTGTGGTTTATAAGTTTTTTTGCCATGAATTATTGGAAGAAGGCGTAGTGAAAAGTGAATTGCGAAGAGCGAACAGAACATGCCTCATGACTAATTTGCATCCCGGCAAACACCGCGGCTTATCCAACCAATAATACATAAATAAACCACAAAACGCTGCCTCCACAATGATCCGAATAGGAAAAATAGTGAGGCCCAAAAGCGTTTATTTGAGAAAATAATGCTTGTTCATCCTTGAAAATTTGGAATTAGGTAGTCTAAAGATTAAAACGGAACATCACATTGATAAGCGGGGCAAAAACACTATTCAGGGAAAGCATACTAAAAAAGGTCAATCTGGGGATAAACTGGGTGGGTTTGAAAGCATTGTATTCATGAATAAAAAAAAACTACAATTTTTTCTCATTTCAAAATTTTATATTAGAAAAACTTTTTGGCGTTTCAGTTAGCCTGTCCGGCTTTTATAACAACTGCTTCGGCGGCACGAATATGTAATTAATCTTTTTCCTGCTATAGTTTATACGCCAATACTATAATAATTTAAATTACTTAGATGCTTCGGTAAGCACAATTACTGTTACCTCAGCGTATGGCTTCTCTCTTTACATGTGTCGGTGTTGCTCGATTCCAAACCTCACCACAGTGGTTATTATCACGGCCAAGACCTTAGAATAAGCGAAATACGTTTGCTAAGAGCACAAAACATAACTTTTTCTATATTAGATTTGTGTTCGTCTCAAACAGTATACCTATCGAGCAACGAAATAATGCTGCCGAGCTTTGCAACTGTTCCTCGTTAACGCAGACCATGGTAAGAAAAAACTTACATGGCTGTAAAAACACTTCCCACAAATATGAGTCTATACCGCCTTTGCTCCTTTTGATAGCTTATAAAAGGGAAAATTATTGCCAAATTAAAAGGCTGAATGTTTGTTTCAATTAAAAAAAAGCATGCGCAAAGACTGACCTCTGTCAATACTGGGGAACAGCAAAGGATTGGGCACCACTTGCTCTTCATTGCCCGATTGGAAGTGCGAGTGAAGTAGATACATTTGCTAAGGGAAAGTAGGTGAAATCCTAACCCTAGGAAGGGCGAAGTGGAACAATGCTATAAAGATGAAAAGGGGGGTTTGGGGAAGAATATGGAAAGATAACTTGTGCGAATAAAGAGTTTCGAAACGCCATTGAAACGCACACTTAGTAATCTAGTCCATGACAGGACGCTTTTCAATGATTATTCTTCCTGTGCTTTATTCTCGCCTTTAGCTTTGTTTGATAACGTCTCCTTCTTTCACCTTGCCCTTCGTCATCTATATTGCTGTAAGTTCAGACAATCTGTTTCTACCGACTCGCTTTCTACGTTAAGTTGTTTCTATTTTCCCTTGTCTTTGACGTCCGGCACAAGGGTTCATAAGCATTGTGAGCGTTTATTCAGCTCTTAAATATTTTCCTTACTAAATGCGTCTTAGTAAGTCAAGTACCAAGGCAATAAATCCGTACACTTACCCAAATGTAGCTGTAAGAATACTGAAAGGAATTTGTTGGAATTTTGCGTAGAGGATCAAACAAGGAGGTTCTGGAAAAAAGAATCAGTAGTAAAGCGGTTAATATATTTTTTTTAACTTTCTATGATGCGAAGAAGTATCGAAACTACGGTTGAGTAAATAAACATTATTCTTCTCTAAAATTCACACTGTTATCTACCAATCGTTGTCGTAGATAAGACTCTATTCACCTTTAAAGGGCAAGGAAAGTCATTGTTAATAATTTTAAATCATCATATTTTTGATATGTAATGGCACTTACGAATCTTTCGTTCTATCATAGTAAAACTGAAGTCAGTTTTAGTAGGTAATTTTTCTCACACAAGGAGAATTGATGCAGATTTCCGCACACTGAATTTTTTGATTCTCTGATTTTCTATTCTGCAGTATAAGGTAGATAAGTCTAAATCAACGGGCTCGCAAAGACTTACCGAAAATGTATTTTGGAGATTTTGAAATAAATGAATGAAAATATTTATTTATCTATTTAGATTTGTATTCTTCTTTGGCGCGAAAATATGCCAGGATAAGACATCATCAGCTCTGAAAAGCGAACCTTCTTATGGCTTGTAGTGCTATTGGTATCGATGCTGCTCACTTTCCCACAAAACAAAAAAACAAAAAAAAAAAAACAAGGAAACTGCACTGGTTTCAAGCCGTCTTAGTCTCTAGTCAATACCTCACAAGAGGGCTGTAGGTGTATGTCATGTGACCTTCCCTCACCTTAAACCCGTGACACTCTACCCTGACTTGGGCCAATTACTCGTATCTTTTTTTTTTTTTTTGCGTTTATGCCTGACAAAAGTTCTTCAAATAAGTGGAACATATATTTTACACTTAAAAGGTGTAATAAAGGAGGAAAAATAGTCTGACAATTGTCGATGATACAGATACGTTGCATATGTGACGCATATTAAATCATCTCTGAAACTATAACAGTATGTGTAAGATCGAGTTCAGAGAGCGTAAACTTAAAATTAACTGTGTAACTAAGAATATATAATCTATACATACTGTAACGATAAGACTTCGCAGACTTGTTCCCAACGAGAACGGTTTTCACCGTCTCCTTTAATCCTTTAACACTTTAACCCCAAAGAGTGACTAACATCCAATTTCTCCTTACAATATCACCCTGAATATAACATTACGGTCATGAGAATTGAGAAAAGGACAGGTAGAGACAGGTGCCCATCACGCACGATTTCACAACAAAGGTTAAGTTTAAATTTTCTACGCCTTTAACGAATGGATCGAAATCGAAATTTTTGGCATGACGAAGTTTCACACACCACATACTGAGACAGGAGATCATAGGATTGTCGATGGGTTAGATTTCAGCACGAAATAATTTAGAAAGTTTCAGAAATTTTCTACTTTTACTTTTTTTGTATCCCGATCTCTGATCAAGGCTACAGGTATCTGTGCAAATTGATTATAATTTTTTTTTTTTGGGAAGCGATACATCGCAAAGAAACATGCGCAGGAAAAGTAAACTTTGATCATGCGCGATACTCAGCCTTAGGTGAGGGGGGCGTTTGCCGAAATGCCAACACGGAAAACTTTTATCTGAAACTACAACTAGCAAAGCTAAGATCGAAGAAGAATTGCCCCATGGACTTACCCACTTCACTAGCAGGTAGGAAAATGTGTTAGTACTCGGCATTTCCAACAATACACTTCCAATTAATATAATCTTTGAAAATACGATCGCGCACATTTAGTGTTCTATTCACGAGTAGATACCAGTTGAAAATATTGTCTTCGAGTGAACTGATGTACTTCCATTTAATCTCACCGATAAGACGGCTGAACGTACTGGACATTTCCTCTTCTTTTTTTACGTAGGCAACTGATGATCAATCGCTTGCAACTGTTCTGAAACTTTTAGCAATTATTCAAACGATAGCTTAGCTCACTGCAGATCTTTGAGGCTCAGCGGTGAAACTTCGGAGAGCAATACCGAAGGTCTGTGGTTCGAGTCTTATTGAGGTTCTACATTCGTTACCCCACGCTTGTGACAAGACTAAAAACATCTAAATTTCATCAAACAACGTTAACATTCAGCATCTTTCTCATTCTTAAAAATGAGTTAATTTACAGCGAATACGAAGTATTTCAGACGAAAAAGTGACTGCTATAACGTTTCGTCCGCCTTCAGTAGTCTTAACGTCGATTCCTCTTCGATGCTCTTTTTCAGAAAATCTATTTTACATCGGGACCGCGGCTTTGCAACGCCTTCCATCACATGATCTTTCAAATTTACCCAAAATGTTTAATGAAGTTTACTCCCCATACTGACACAAATTTATCGAAGAGTGCCAAATCGCGGTCGCTATTTCGTTTTTAGACAGACACTCAATTACAATAGGAACTTTGAGTTTTGGTAACGTCTTCTTACTCTAGTTTGATCTTAAGGTGAGGACGCAGTGCTTGCCTACATTTCTGCCCCACCACTTGTTCACCAAGTCATTTTGTAAACATACTCCTTTTCATCGATACGCTTTTATGATCAATTATTGAAGGTCTAGAATGTTATCAAAGCTTTATGGCTAGGACATGACTACAGAACGATCGCATGCAGCGTTTTTCAAAACTTGGCAATTGAAGAGTCCGACCACTTTTGAATGCATCATCGAAGGCTGTCCATCAATCTCTTTGAGTTTGCACAGCTAGTATATAACGTTGTAGATCTGCATATTGATAATCCGTGGGCATCGATCCAAGAATGTAAGTGAATCTAGCGTGGACAGTTGGGCGCGAAGACATTCAACAGAGGTCACGCTCATGTAAGCAAGAGATTCTTACAAACAAAATGTACGATGACATGCAGGGAAACTGCCATTGCCTTTATTCAACCAGCATCTCTCATTATTAAGGTATTTAAGTACGTAACTTTCGGCTTTTAACACCTATGAATCATTTTAATGTAACAAAGGCTTGTTTGCTGAACACTTTTTGCGAATCAACTGAGACAATTATGTTGGTATTATCATATGTGCCTTGCTAAGCACATTCCTAAGAGTTAGTGGGTTTAAATATTAAAGCAGCGCAAGCCTCTGCTTGTAATAGTTCACTCGTTTGTCCCTCGCTTGATCGCTAAGGAATGTTTTAGTACTCGGAGGAAAACTACGAAAGAGTAAACGTAGTCCAACATACGCAGAGACATTAACCATGTCAGATTTTTTCTCGAGAGACAATATCGGTGGGTGCTCTAAGAAAACATAAACAGGCTCTATCTAAATCTTTGTCCCACGAGAATTGAGCTTTAAAAAGCGCTCTTCGTAAACATCACTGCAAAACTTGCACCTTGCTCAGGTATTGATGGTGGAAAAGGCTAGCAGTCGCTTTGATAACATACCTGAGTTGCAAGTTTTACACGTTCCTGAAAACACAGGAAACTTGATTTACTTCAATTACCTTCGTCACTCTATTTCAGTCGTGTGCAATGTTCTGTGAAGTTGGTGCGACATCTCGGTTCGAGTGTCCACGTGGAGTGGGTGTCTATCTGTCATGTTAAGGCATTGTTTCAGGTTAACAGTGTCATTTACAGTTCAAAGCTTCCAAATCTTAAGACAGTGCATGAAAACTAACTCGTCATGGACAGTCCAGTTGCAGTAAGATCAAAGGTATACATAACTGTCATCGAGTATCTAATCCACGGCTTTGATTGACAGTTTTTCAGCTGAATGACTGCACTTCACAGTATGCAGAATTGAAGGGTACTCAGCATAAACACCTTTAACACTGTGAGTGCAGTACTGACATTGAAGGTAAAGCAACTTATAACGGCAATTTAAAAACAAAATATAGGCAGAAAAACTAAAAGATCCCCAAACAAAATCCAGCGATTGTTTTGATAACTAGCTTATCTTATCATTAGGGGATGATAAGACTGCGTTACACTCTTGGTTCTTAAATACACACAAGGGACCCTTATTGACAGCGGGCCTTCCTAAGTCCGAAAGCCGATAAGGCTTGAATGGATACTCGCTGACCTTGCCGCACAGAAATCATGAAAAAAATAGCGTAAACTTTTAATGTCTTAAAGGTTATGATGGGTGCATCATGAAAACCAAAGGAAATTTTTTCTTTCTTGAAGAGAGAGGATTTTATCGTTTGAATCAGCGTATAATGCCCAGAATATCCTAAGATATCCGCACTTCTTTAAGTTCTTGCCGTGACGCCAAAAAAGATGATAAACATCTCACAATAATTTCACGGTGGTGTCACCGGCATGTAATTGAAAAAACACTTTTCCGTGCAGAAATATCTAAATAGGTTTGATTTACACATCGTAGGAGCTTTAGAGAAAAATTTTATTTTTTCGAAAAATGAGCAATTTACTATTTCAATCAGCGACAAATACTGAAAAGAGCCGCCAAATTTGCAAAACGAGTAAGTTCCGAAATACGATAACTTGAGTCTAACATGGTGACCCCATTCGATGAAATGATGAAACGGAGCAGTGGTGGTGGAATATCCAACAACATGGAATGCCTTGTTGTCTGAAACAAAAGTCTTACAAAGATGAAATTACGACGAAATTAAAAAAAAAATTTATAATTAACAGGCAAATTAAAATTAAAATGAAAAGAAGCCTAGTTTGATCGCTGTTGGAGCCTAGAGGATAGGGAACGGTGAGCTTCTTAAGCTAACCCGGCATAGGTTAAAATATTGACTAGATTGGACTATGTTTTGGACCCTTTTTTGAACCATTTTTGGACCATTTTTTTAGATCATTTTACGATCCTCCACTGTCGAGTTATGCGTGTGCCTTTTGAGTCGACTTGTGCACCATCAGTTTTCCTTTGCGTATACAGTATGTAAATACCAGTGATCACGTAATTTCCAGTCCTTATCCCTTGACTTAGCAGCATATAGAATTCACAAGCGGTAACGCAATTTTAACTTTTATACGTTCACTATATAAAATCATAGTTGGTACAATCACAGGCGGCCCAAGCTCTCTTTGAGAACCACACAAGGGACACAATTTGCATATCGATTTATAAGGATTTGTATGGGATTTTCTACAAGATATCCATAGAGATAGTTAAAAGTGAGAATATTAAATAAAAATGGCTTACCTTATTCCATACGTGTGTTGCTTGCTCCTGGTGTCGTTATTTTACCGATTTCACTTGATTTAAGCGGTTTTTTTTAATCCTGGTTTTCTCTTCTTAAAGAGGAGGTAAGCCATTTTTATTTAATATTTTCACTTTTAACTATTTCTATGGATATCTTGTAGAAAATCCTATACAAATCTTTATAAATCGATATGCAAATTGTGTTCCTTGTGTGGTTCTCAAAGAGAGCTTGGGCCGCCTGTGACAAAACTGAACCCGCAAGTGCTAAGCTGCCAAACCAGGTGCAACTTTTCGAACTCTTGTTTACTGCAGATGTCAGAAGGAAGCAATAGAAAAGAGGAGCTCTTTCACGCCACTCACTGCAAACATGTTTGAAGTCAAATTTTTTCAGGTCCTCTTTTCCGGTTTTTCGTAACAGCGATGGGTTTGTTTTGTAATAAAGGCCTGCCACTTCTTTCGAGACAACTGTCATCGCCTTTTCAATGACATGCTTTTTCACAGGCGGGCAGTTCATTATTGCTCCAGCAATTCGTGACGGAACTTCATAAACCAATACTTTACCGATGTTCCCATAAGTTCCTCGAAGTTTTTTATTCACAATTTTGCTGGGATACTTAACAGAAACTTTTACGTCGTGATTCGCTAGCGCCGAAGAAGAGATAGGAGTAGAAGTAAATTGAAGACGGAACTCAAGCGGGTTTATACGCTGTATTGGCGAAAAGGCCACATTGGTAAGCGGGGTTAAACCAGTGAGCTGTCCCTCATCATTACTCAAAGAAGAAACACGAGTGGTTGATTTATACAGACATCTTTGGCCGCGCTAAATTGAAGACTTTTCGAGGCCTTTGCTTGGATCGTTGACGGCACCGGTAAATTTTGGATTCCGACAGCTCTACTTTGCTCTCGACGCTCATCTCCGGCATTGTGCACACGCTTGGCTCTTGGCCTCCCTTGGAAAGATTCAAGAATTTCCCTCTTCAGCTCCAGAACCTTTTCAGTTGCTCATTGAAATTTACTTGACGCCAACTGATGTGAATAATACAATGCTTCTACTCATGTGACTCTTTTTTGTTCACCGCCGAGCACGTGCTGCGTCGCCCTGAGCTTTGCATCACCAAACAGAGGAAGAAAATTGAAAGAAAAAAGTCGTGAACAGCCCCCATGAATATTGAATCAGCTCAAAATCATTCAGTGCACTGTTTCTTTTAAACATGTTTATGTAACTTTGATCATCCATGTAACATGCATATCGTTCGAACAATAAAAGGTAGCCTGTTTTATTCATAATTCTGAGTCTAAACTTGTTATTCAAAAAATGTAATCTACTTCCAATTTCTGTTCTTACTACAACCTTTTACCAAGCTTGATTGGTACAAATACTGGGCAAAGTTTATATCGACAAATTAAAAACTCGAGGAAAAAAATGCTAGTTACCACTCTACTTACCAATATGGATGCTGGGCCAACTTTGCAAACGACTGCGATATCTTCCAAGCATATCAGAAAAGAAAAAGTAAAAGAAAAGCATCGCCTGATGAGTTTTGGAAAAGAAAGGACATATCTTTCATAAACTGTTCCTTCATTGGTTAGATCCAGGTGTTGGTTGTAGCACGTGCGCACAACAGTGTATTGAAAACTTTACTCAAACGTGATTGATTATCACTAGCCACGTTGACCCGCCATGCCTGTGTAAGGGGGCGGTAAGTGTCATGTGCGTGCGCTTACTTGTATCTAGTTTCTTTTCCAAATTTTGTCATATTTTTGACATCACACAGACCGGATTAGTGATCGAAATCATGCTCTTTCCTATACAAACGCTGATGGCGTCTACGCATAACAAACGTGTGCGGTACCTTGGCTGTTCTAGATAGCCGGTGTACGGACTTTACCCAGAATCACCGCGGTGTAACGGGACAAAGCAACTAATAATGTCAAGAATAGATTCGAGAGCGGCTACGCAACAATGCCAGAATGACGTCGATTTATTTAAATTAAAGTGATCTATTTTTACAACTTTCCTCTTGAACTCACCTCCATAATGAATAAATACAAATGTAAGGGAAATGTATAGGAAAGGAAGAAGATTTTTTAAATGTTAGCTATGTAAAAGAAACAACAGAAAAAACCTTTTATACGAAGGAAATGATGAAATTGATTCAATAAATGTTTGTCACGCGTGACCAGCACACTTTGAACTTTTGCGGTGTTACTACGTTAATCAGTGAAAGAAGACAGAGGTTCGAACCCCCCCTCACACCTAAATGTTTTTATTATTATTTTTATTATTATTATTATTATTCTCTCTTTTAATCTCTCAAAAGAAAAATTTTATCCACACAGAGACTTCGCAGCAACTAATTAATTTGTCACAATGTTTCTTAGCGCTTAAACTTCAAGGGTGCGTTAAGAGTACGTCAATGAATGATTGTGACGAAGAATGATATGCTTGGCTGACTCTCCTTGTTTTTCTTTGATTTTTTCATCTGTTTCCTTTCAATGAGTAATGAAAGGACGATAGCACAGCATCTGAGCTGGGAGAGGAGTTATAGATACTTCGAAGAAACTGATTGGCACGTGACGGTAATGGATTTCTAGTTATGAAACAAAGCTCGAAGGTGCAAAGTCATCAAATATAAACAAAAAGTTGCTTTCAACTATGCCGAGTTATTTCCGGAGACGTTGAATCTTACAGCTTATGATTGCAAATAATAGACGGTTATGTGATTGTGCCACCAGCACCAAAAACTTTCTCTACTATGCAGAAGTAGCACTTTTTTTCAAAGAAGGTTGTAGAATAAAAGGTTTAGTATCTTGATTTCAATATAACATGTTACAATTGCAAAAAAATCGACCTTTTTACCATATTCGTTATCATCAGCTTGCTTTTATCTTTATCATCCGAATAACCTAAATGATACTAAAACACATTCTAGATCAACGACCATAAAACTACATCCAACACTTCTTTAAACGTTTACGCATTGAAATAGTTTTAGAAGTTTGTCTGTTATTGGCAGATCAGAGCAGATCATGCACTCTTGACAAAATTAAGTTTTTTTCCACAAGCATTAACGTTGTAAAATTCAGTAACGACTTACTGTATCACGTGTCTCCCAAACTTTAGAAACCCTCAGTTATGCTTATGCCACCTCTGAAAAATTGCTCACAATCACATTTATACAGCTCTTAATGTAGTGCTCTATCTCTGTGTGCAAGCAATCTTAACTTCACCTTTATACTTTGTTACAAAGGACCAAGAAAGTGCCGACGGAACACATTTACGATACGCTAAATATAGTTTTTGCCTTGTTATAACGACAACGAACTTTTCAGTAAAAGAATGCTATAGAAAGTTTACACGAATATTCTTCAAAATTCTCGAAAAGGCTTTAGTCTATGTACAAGACGTTCATAGTATCTTATTAACCAAGCGCGAGGGCCGTACTGGGAGAATATCGGCCCGAGGTCTCGACAGTACGAACCGAGCGCAGCGAGGTCCGTACAAAAAAGACCGAGGGCCGATATTCTTCCAGTACGGTCCCCAGCAAACTTGGTTAATAAGAGATTTATTATACGACTGAAGTTCAAAGGGACACAAGTGCGGTATCATTCGGGACCATTCGGAACAGTGCCCGGTGCAATACTGAGAGAATATTGACCGGCAATAGAGCATTTTGATTGGTTGATTTTAGTTATTGGCCCTCTGACTGCCCGAGTCGTGTAATAATACTTATTATTGCTGCGTCCATCTT